GGGTAGTCAGTGATAGGGACTACAGAACACCAAGAGGAAATCCTTTGTAGCGAAGGACACGCCCACTGTTGACAAGGTGCTGGCTTCCTGGGTACAGACAAGTACCAGGACTTACTGAGCTGCAGTTTTCAGTATGTGCCATTTACTGCATGCTAATTGTACCTCAAGGGAGCATCTCAAAAGTAATGAAAAAGGGTTCACTTTTGTATCAAAACCCTGGGAGATAACAAGCACACACTGAGACGGAAGACTTGGGTCTTTTCTGAAGTGGGCTCATGCCTCAAGAGTAACCTTCAAACTTATCTGTAAATTGTGTGTCACGCCTCACAGCTGGTCACGTGACGGCGCTTGCACAGGTGGAGTCGGGCTCGGGGGTTACTGGAGGATAAGAAGGCATGTAAAGCTCACACTGGTCTCTTTTGTCTGGGGCCCCTCCTCTGTCCTTGGCATACCACAGCGCTGTGATGCTTCGCTTGCGTGAGCAGGCAGTGTCAAGGCTCCAAACAATAAAATATCTGTGCTCCTGTCTCTCTCCTGCCTTGAGCAGAGGCACAATTTATGTTAAAAGAAGCAGGCTGACCCGAACTGATATTTGATATATCCAAACAAAAAGTTACTGAAATCGCTGCTGTTAACAAAAGTGTCTCTGTTAGGGGAGGAAAATGAATTAAGCCTTTGCCTCTGTGCCCTAAATGAGAAATCTCATCAGAGCCTACTTACAACACATGTCTCGGATGTAGAAAGACAGCCTCAGCACCATAATTAAACACTGGAAGACACTAAAAGAAAAAGCTCATTCAAACTTGCCACTTGGACACCAAAATTTGAATAAATTATGGAACTCCGTTCCAGAAAGCTTATTTTTTTAAAAAAAATTGTCAACAATAACAACAACAACAACAAAAAATAGATGTTGCCATCATTTACAAAATGACTATAGGGAGGTCATTTAAATGTCTACGAAATGTCCTAAGCACTTTTACAAGCGCTGGGAAAATAAGTCCATATTCATGAAGGCAACACAAACACTATCTTTAGTCCTTACTCAGGTATGCCAGTGTCCAGGCTGCCAGTCACTCACCTAACTCTATCTCTTAGATACTAATTACTCCATCTGCTTCCCCACCTTCAAAATCACTTCCAGGGGCTATTTCCTGACTGTCCGCACACCATCAATCTGTCCCCAGTTCCTGTACACACCTTCATTACGGGCTGTGTCACGATACCTCACACACATACACACACCCTTCCCTGGGCTCCTTCAGACCTCCAAATGGCATGCTTGTAAAGCAACCCCTCAAGGAGCCACATTCCCAGTGCAGAGACAGAAAACACTTCAAGTCCAAACAGACACTTTGGCTGGTGGGTTTTCTGTGGTCTACAGGGAAGCAAATGTGCACTTCACCCTACATTTGTTTATCCAAAGAGCATGTGCAACTGTATTAATCCACTAAAGCCTTGGTTGTCTCGTATACATTAAACATGCAACTGAAGCATGCAAGAGAAACAGGCTGTAGTGTATTTTCCACAAAGGACTAGCCTTATTAACAATGTAGATCGCTCATCGCTAATCCTAAAGCCACCCCCCTAATGTCTGTTTCCTCCCTGGTCCTAGGAGGAAAGCCTAACTACCGCCACATCTCAGAGTTCCGGTCCAGCGATTTTTCTCCTTCGGTCGTTAATTACTAAGGACCTGATTTAAGGTCTCCAGGTGGTGTTCCGGGTCAATAAATCACAAGAACTTTTTCACCAGCTCCCACAATCCAGTCCCCATTTTAACAAACCACCTCTTACAACTTGGGGTCTGCTACAGGGTCTCCAGGGATGAGGTTCCCGTTGTAATATCCCTTGAGCTGTGAGGCGCATGCTTATATCTCCTGCTAAGTTGGGAGAACAGAACCACTTGGAGACATAGCTCACGATACTGTACTTACTATATTTTCTTAACAATATGCTTGCTAAGCCAGGACTATTTTTGGATCTTTAAAGACACTGTGGCTTGTGCAACTCTCTTTCCTAAACATAGTTTGTAACATGCTTCTCAGCAACTAGAGCCGTACACTATACTTACTCTCTCCCCCGACTCCTATCTGCCTTCAAGCTGTAAAAAAAAAACCTGTTTGGAGACCGTGCATTTTCTCCTACTATCTTACCATCAGGATACCTGTGCTTCGCACCCAGGGGTGAGAGCTCACACTGAACTCCTAGAGGGTGTGTATTCATACAGAAGATAAGGAAGAGTGCAGGAGTCTGCAGGCATCGTTTCCTAAGAGCCACAGAGGAGAGACCGGAAGGGAAGGCAAGGCTGGACACAGGCTCATTCCAGGAGACATGACACCCGCGTCATTATTCCTGCACCCTAACCTAGACAGTTTTAACTTTCTTTCTCCTGTTAGTTAGGTCCAGACCAAGAAGTATTTGCTTCAATAATGGAAAGACATTTATCACTTGCTTTCCTGTCTCTTCACAGGGGACTTACTCTAATCTAAAAGAGGGACTGAAGGCGTAAGATTGAAACATTTTAGAAATCTAATTCATTAAACGGTTTTAAGCAGAATTATTTGAATTCTTAAGTCATCAAGGTTTTTTCTCCTTTAGACTTTTCTCTCTTTCGATACTGGGAACCACCCCTTCAGTTTGGGCACTCTTAATTCCTTTAAATTAAATTATTTTAAACTTACACATTTCCTCTTTTATAGCTGGCAGTATGTTCTAAGTTTCTGACTCTTAGTTTCTGGATACCTTTCATTTGATTTCACAACAGTGGAACCTAATTACCACCTATCTAGCGACAGTACATATCACACTGCTAAAACAAGCTTTTTTGCTAGAGGCTGCCTGCAACTCAGCAAGGTCCAGCTATGATGCTAACCTACTTCTTAGGCTCCAGGTCCGTCATGCTACCTCCAATGCTCCTAAAAACAGAACACTCTCAGGTCCTATCAATATGTCTTTCATATACTTCAGGTTTTTTTCAGGATCGATTAGTTAGGTTTCTAAGAATTCAAACTGGACCAGAATTTTCTCCTCCAAATTAGAGTATAATTATCCCTAAACAAAAGTCTTATGAGGAAGCACTCAAAGCAAATCTTGAAGTCACTCAACTATTAAAGAAAAGATAGTCTTTGTAATGTTAGGCTGAAATATGCTGACAAGAGTTTTACAAGCTAACAATTTATGCACGAGCGCGCGCGCGCGCACACACACACACACACACACACACAAAACACACACACACACACACACACACACACACACACAGATAGAATCTAGCTGCTTGGTCACTAAATCACATCACCAGAACTTAAACACATTTTTCAAGGGACAAAGAACAGTACACCTAGCCGGGCGTTGGTGGCACACGCCTTTAATCCCAGCACTCGGGAGGCAGAGACAGGTGGATCTCTGTAAGTTCGAGGCCAGCCTGGTCTACAGAGCTAGTTCCAGGACAGCCTCCAAAACAGTACAGAGCAACCCTGTCTCAAACCCCCCCCCCCCAAAAAAAAAGAACAGTACACCTTCATGACCTCCATGGGTAGTTCCATACAGGCATTTCCTCCACCAACTAAGAACTCAGGCGCCTATCCCCTTAAGATTTGCTTCATTTTAAGCTCAATGAAGCAAAGAAAGAAATAAGAATGACACGTGGAGGGGACAAGATAACAGAGATAGAGCTTTTAACTTGTGACACTCAAACAAAGGGAAGACAACAGTATCAGGATAGTTACACACACAAAGATGGAAGAAGCCCGAACTAGTTTTAAGGCCAGTAACTGACAGGCTAAGCCATTTCATCATTCTACAAGGAAACTGCTCTTTCAGTGTCATACAGTAGCTGTGTTTTTACTGATTAATAATGAAACAAAATAGTCCGGCACTCAACATGTAAAGTTGGCTCAAACAGAGCCAAGCTGCTCACTATGCAAATGCAAATGATAATTGCATTGATCAACTCTTTTTAGTGTGGGAAATACTGAGGCCTAAGAACCAAGAAAAGAATCCAACACAGTATCCAGCGTGGAACAGCAGAGAGTGTGGGCTCCCAGGATCAAGGAAGACGGCTGGTCATGGAGCCAACCTTCTAAGAAGAAGAGGGTCACACACAATTCTCTTTTTTATGAGCATATGTGTGTTTATCTGTGTATGAGTTTGTGCCTGTGTCTGCAGGTGCCACAGAGGCCAGAGGCATTAATAACCTGGAGTTGGAGTTACAGAAGATTGAGAGCCACTCAAAGTGGGAGCTGGGAACTGAACATGGGTCTTCTGCAAGAGGAGCACATGCTTTTGAACCAGTGAGCTGTCTGTCTCTCCAGCCCATGTGAGGTCCCAGACTCAGAGAAGAGAATGATGAAGGAAATGTCTGGGGTACTGGTTCATGAAGGTGATGGCTTCCAACCCTATAGTGGTTTAGCCTCAATTCTGTTACCTACAGTCACAGCACTGGAAAGAACTTATAACAGTTCTTACAAAGCAATGAATTGTGAAATAAAATCTAATATTCTTCCCAAATAAAGCACCATTATAAAAAATCAGATACGCAGCAGCAAAATTTGCTCGGGGTTTATTATGCCATCATTGAACTACTACTGAAATAATGAAAACTGCATTTGACCCAGAGTGCAAAGCTTTTACTGTGGAGCAAAATCATAAACCAGCTAGATCGGTGATTCTCAAGCTTCCTAATGCTGCGACCCTTTAATGCAGTTAGTTTCTCGTGTCGTGGTGACCCTCAACCATAAAATTATTTTCACTGCTGCTTCATAACTGAAATTTCACTACTGTTATGAATTGTGATATAAATATCTGTGTTTTCCAATGGTCTTTTGGGGTTTGTAACAAGCAGGCTGAGGACTGCTGAGCCCAAAGAGGTAAACATATGTTTGGATTAAATTTCAACCAAAAATAAAGGCTTATTCTGAACAACTAAAAAAGTAAGGGGAGTGCCAAACCGGAGAAACTATACTCATACATACACAGTCCATTTAAAAGCACTGACATACCTGTTTTCGGATGTATTGAGAAGAATCCTTGTGGATTTCCACTTGTAATTTTGTATGTCAGCTTGTCACTGGAGCTAGAATCGGGGTCGAATGCCTCAATCTGGACCACGGATACATCCTTGGGTGAATTTTCTATTATTTCTGGATAGTACACAGGCTCTGATGTCTGCGGGGCGTTGTCATTGACATCCTCCACCTCTATGTAGACCTCTATGAAGGATGACAGGGGTACCACACCCTGATCCGCGGCATAGACTGTGAGCCAGTAGTGGGAAGTTGATTCCCTGTCCAGTCGATCTGAAGTCTCTATAACACCTAAAAGAAACAGGCAAAACAAAAAGTTAATGACATGCACAAGATGCCACTTACTAGAGGCATGAACTTCAACAAGCTACCTAACCCTTTGCCTCAGTTTCTCTTCCTACAGAATGGAGATAACTGCATGACCCCTGAAGATTGATGAGACGAGTTAATACCTACGCAATTGTCAAATGTGTAGCATACAATACGGACTACAGAAGTATTTACAACTACCAGTGTCAAGCAGACCACTTTAAAAATGTATGATCTGAGTCTGAAAGTGGGCACAAAGAGATCATCTCATGGTCTAAAAATTACCCTGCTTCCCAAAGATAAAATTTATGGCTGATTTAAATGTGTTGGCTTTCATGGGGATTAAGCAGGAAACCAAAGACACCAGAGTCAGGGCTCAGTTCCACCCATTAGACCACAGCCCAGGACAGAGACCGGGGTAACATTCCTCCAAGTTAAATTTTAAACCTTCAAAAACTGCTAAGAAAAGAAAATGGGAAATTTTTGCAACTCAATCATAAGAGATTGCTCAGATCTCTTCCACACTAAACTTCTTAATATTTTTAACCATCTTAAGCAAACAGTACGTTATAAAAACATAAATTCTCCTTGTTGTATTCTAAAACTGCAGAACCATGTGTCGTCCCTGGCTATTCGTGATATTTCTGGCTTCTCATATAAAGCACAGTCACTACTCCAAGAGTTAAACCACCCAGTATCTTGGCTGGCCTTGGAGTACAGAGTCTTCTCTCGGGACCCCAACTAGAAAATATTTTTTATAGAGAGAACCAGTAAGAGGGAAAGTGTAGCACTGCTGAGCAGAGGAAGAGGGTTGCTGTTATTTTGGTTCCGTCTATTAAAACTTTGCTTCCAGAATCCTCCCCGAACAAAGTGATTAGACATGGAAATATCAACTGTCTTAAGCAAACTTGGCCTTTCACTTAATGGCACAATTTTGCCTCTTGACTCCTAGGATGACAGATCGCTGTGAACTGAGGACACCTTCAACATTCAACACCATGCACCTGCCTACCCTTCAGAAATTCTCCAGCTTCACAAGCAGTAAGGGTCCCCATCCAATGCAAAATGCAAAAGCAAAAACCGAGGTCATCTATATCCAGCAGTAACACTATTTATCTCAACCACTAACCCTGGTTATGTATTTAAATTAGCAAATAAACTGTTAGCTGTATGCAACACAATGTTCTGAAATGTGGATACATTGTAGAGTGGTTTAGTTGAACTAATCAACTATACATTACCTTCTATAGGTAGGTGTGTGTGTGTGTGTGTGTGTGTGTGTGTGTGTGTGTGTGTGTGCGCGCGCGCGCACTTAATACCTACTCACAATTTTTCAGGCACTGTGAGGTTATTAACTATGGTTAATAAAGTGCCTGTATTTGGGATTATTTAAATTTCAGTGCTTGCTTTTTGGGGGTGGTATCAGAAGAAGTCACAGCACACTGAATAGCCAAACGTAAAGTGAACTACCTTAAGATGAATGTTTACAGCCACTTACAATTAACAACTGATTACAGGCTAAAATGGTTCTTCTTTTCCTCTAACCCAATCTATACAAATTCAATAAGTCAACAATTAAATGACTACATTGTAACTGTTTGTATCTGCAACAAATAGTATCTTTTCTATTTTCCCTTGTTCATTGAAGCCTTCACTTTACCCAAGGAAGTCAGGGACACGGGCTGTCTCCACTACCGCATTACATATTAACAAAACGAAGAGGCATATGCTTCTCTCCCGTGCTGCTACTCCATTAAAATGCAATTAAATTCATTGGACAAGTGAAGTATTATTAGAAAATTTCAAACAGACAGATTTTACCCCCTGCCTTTCACTTCTAACCATCAAATATTTCATGCTGCTATTCCCCCCTTTTCTTTAATCGTAGTCCTTTCAATGTAATTATAAGCTCATAAAGCAATGACAATTATATAAGCCATTTACTCTGGGTTTACTCTATGCCAGCATCATGGCAGTCCTGCATTGTCCTGTCTCATCTTTTCTGGCCTGCCTACACTAGAGCTGCCATTGTCCCTACTTCACGATGGAAAACTCAAGAGATGAGGAACTTTCCCAGAGCCACAGTAAAGGGCAGCAGTCATGAACTGGGCGCCAGCAAGCATCCTGGTCAGGTCTATTCTGAGAACAACCGGGGCTAAAAAAAAAAAAAAAAAAAAAAAAAAAACAGACTTCGTGTGGTAACCCTGAAGACCAGACAGGCTTCATATCCCATGCACTTTTAAATGTCAGTATTTGGGTGAAAATGATATATTCATTCAAATACATCAGCCTTAAGAGGATACTATAAAATACAAGGATGTTATGATGAAAAACTGGTATCTACTGTCCTTCATGTTTCCTCCCCTAGTCGCATGAGTGTAGCCTTCTGCTGAGAACGGGGTCTTCCCCAATCACCTGGGCAAGAGGGGAGGAGGGGCCGTGTTTCTCTCAAGGTGAACCCCTACCATGAACTCCCAGTTCTGGTGAGGAGGGAAACGGCTGGATGTAAATAAAGGTTGAACATGAAACGCATGGTTCTGCTCAGATATAAAAGAAAAACAGGGTTGTGTCAAATGCTACTCAAATGACTAAGATTAAGGAGCGAGGTGCCCACTTTCCTAGGGCATGAAGTCACAGGCTATGAGAGGCATAATACGGACACACCTCCTCAATCAAATCAGGGTTGACAGGGATTCATTCCATGCTTTAGAGAAGGTCTTATTTCTAAAAGAACCCATGTGCAGGCCATCTCCAAGAACGACTAGAAATAATGTGTACTCTTCCAGTCACTATGAGCCCTTATTCCTACAACCGGTAGTTCCTAAACTTAGGACCAGCACAGGGGAAAACAAAAGGAAAACTAAAGCCTTCAGGCCATGGCTGGGTGTGAATCAGACAATGTCACTCAATTCTTCAACTTCCACTCCTGTTCTTAATTTAATTCTCTTGCCTATGAATCAACTTTCAGTTGTTGATAATCTGTAACAAGTTCTTTTGTATTGCAAGATACAAACTCCTTCCTCCTGGGAGAAATAAAGAACTAAGGAAATCTACAGTCTTTACTGATTTTATTAAACACATATCTTTATCTCCAGATTCTCCTAGAATTTACATTCTGTCTTCAACAACCTATCCTCCCCACCCACCCCGAGATCTCTGTTTGTAGTTGTAATTTTCTGCCTTTCATTTCTTTGCTTTTAAAACAAAAACAGAATGGTTGCTAGGAGATGAATCTCCGCTTCTGTCTCCCAGGTGCTGGGATTTTAGGTGCATGCCACCATGCCTGGTTCCCTCTTTCACCTTTTTAGATAGCAATAACAGTGTGTAACTAGAGGACAGATAAGGCCAGGGTGTCAAAGGAAAAGGCAACACTGCCTTCTAGAAAATTCCCTCTAGCCAGATGCAGGGAGAAAAAAAAAAAAAAACAAATCCAGGAAGAATGGGGAGGAAGAAGGAAATCACAGGATTCTTATTTCATGAGGAATGTGGTACGATGGTCATGCTGAGCACAGAAGACAGGATCAGACATGCCTGGTCTACCAACTGCCCAGCAGTGTAGCATAATCGGGGATTGTTCCTTTACTTTAATGAAGTATTTCAGAAGTCCTGAGTGCCCAACTTCCTAACATTGAGAATACAACGAAGACATTTTCAAAACAGTTGTTAATAAGCTCGACACTCTGAAGAAAAGCTGGAAACATGAAACTATTCGCTAAGAATATTTATCATTCCTAACGTGCTTGATGGGATTGCAAAGGCACCACCAGATGTCACTATGGAAACTAACTTTAAATATGCATCTATTGGAATCACTGCTGCACTGAAGGGAAAGAAAGGCCATGTGATTTCTAAAAGAGCACTCAGCGGCAACTGGGATATCTTTATCAAACCCCTCCCCTCGAGACTTAGGGATCTATGCGGAGGAAGAGGAGGAAAGATGTTAAGAGCCAGAGTTGATGGATGATGCCAAGGAAACAGTGTCTTCCAGACACAGCAGGCCTGATACACAGCTGTACACACAGACACTGTGCCAGCATGCACAGGACCTACACAGGTTCAAACCAGACCAAATCTCTGCACTGAGAAAGGCAAGTTGACATGGAGTCCCAACCCCACACAAGAAGGTTCTTCTAACCAATACCTGCTAGCAAAGGGAAAACGAGTTTTCTCCTATGGGGTGTCACCAAGTGTACCAACCACACTCCAGGACAGGCCCTGTGCCCAAGAGTAGTTGGCCAACACAAAACGAACTCCGTGGTTTTTTGTAGATGTTTTTGTTTATTTTGTCTTATTGTTTTATTAACTTAATTGACTCTCTCTCTCTCTCTCTCTCTCTCTCTCTCTCTCTCTCTCTCTCTCTCTCTCTCTCTGGTCTGTGTCTTCTGTGGGGGAGAAAGAGAAAAGATTAAGTTGGGTGGGTAAGGAGGTAGGATCTTGGAATTGGGGAAGGGAAAGAAAATAACCAAAATATACCATATGAAAGAAAATTAATTTTAACAATTAAGAAAAAGAAAAGCATAGTTGTGGCAGACCTTCCTTCCAAAAGGACCCAAGAGATATTTAACTAAGCATGTAGTTGTCCCCTGGTCTGATTTTTCCAGGCTTATGGCACATAATACTACTTGCTCAAGTAAACACTTTAAAGTAAATAAAGCTTTCTAAGCCTGGCTCATTCTGGCTACCACCAAGGTTACTTTAAACCCTGTCCTCAACATCCACCACTTTCACCAACTGACACAGTGGCCCCAGTTTCAACATAGTAACCTTTGTAAAGCAAAGTCAAGTTGCCATCGCCAAAAATAATTTAAGCCATTCAAATTTCCATACCCACAGAATAGCTCTCTTGTTGAAGGTTTGCCGATTTTATTCAACGGACCATGGCCGTTAATAGGTCCTAGAGACAGAGTTTTTGACAAAAAGCTTGTTATTTCTGACTCCTTGGTTACTCCTACTCAAAAATAACTTCAATCTGCAACTTTACA